CAGAAAACAGGTTCCGAAACCTGGGTTTTTGGGTTTTTCTTCCCACCCGCTTCGCAGACTAGGTCGCACTGCTTATGGTTTCGACTCACACACTCGCACAAGGCTGGCATGGCTGATGAAGGTCTGCTTAGGGTTTAGGGTTTAGGGTTCACCCTATGCCCAAGGCCCAAGCATTGGCAGAGACTTGGTCGAAACGTTGCCGAAGATCGTCGAGTGCCCTCAGCCACCTGAAAAGGGCTCCAAAAAGGTGTCTTTGAACGGATTGTACCTGGGATTTAGCAGGGCTCTACGAAGCTCCAGAAGGGGATTCGCTAATACCTGACGGCATACACTTGAAGCCAACACAAAGCAAGCAGTGATCTCATAGGATTACTTGCGTCGGTTGGCAGCGGACGTCCTTCCACACAATGATAAGGTTGTGACGGACATCCTGCTAGAATCATTGGGATGTACTAGAAACAAATAATTATTATGATTTTAATACGAGAACAAATACAAGACAAATACGAGAAAACTACGAGCGGGGTGTTCGACGTCAAAACAGATCTAGAGGACGCGAAACGATACGAGAAAAAATACGAGAGCTCAAGGAAATAAGAGAGGACCAGGGCGGCCCCGGCCCCGGCCGGCTCTGGTTCTCTCGTATTTCCTAGAGCTCTCGCACTTTTTTCTCGTATCGTTTCTCGTATTTTTCTTGTATTGTCCGCTACTGCAAAAAATGCCTCTCGTATGTCCTCTTGTGTTCCCTCTCGTGTTCATTTCGCATTTGAGTCGTATTAAAAATTACTTTTGATGCATGCCAGTCGTTCCGGAACATGCCCCTCACAATGATAGGGAATGCGCATTTCGAAAACTGAACAATCGGACACAGCAAGAGTCACCAGAACGGATGGACGGCTTCAGAAATGCAGGAGCCCTTTCACAAGCCCAATTAGAAAGGATCCCTGTTGCCAAGGCCTGCCGAAGGGAGCCCTAGATTTCTACCAACGATCTGGTCGAAGAGCTGATCCGTGCACAAAAGCTGAAGACTGCCACTCTAAAGGCGCGGGTTGGGGTGTAATTAGGGTTTAGGGGTTCCTTGAATTAGGGTTCTATGAAGGTTACTAGAAGGGCTGGATGGGCTTGTGGCTTTTTGGGGTTTAGGATTTAACGAGAGGCACTACTTGTCCAGTACGCCAGAGGAGCTCGAGGTTGACCTTTGGTACTTTGACAGCGACTATAGTACCCCAAGCAAGGTCAAAGATTACCTACTCTACTAAGCTGGGTGTCAGGCTTGAATATCGGGGCCGAACAACCAGGGTAGGATCTGGGGCAACATGACATTGCATGGTGCAGAAGTTTTGGTATTCCAACCTCTAAACTGGGCTGGGCCCTGGGATATCAGGGCACAGGGTGGTATTGGGCGTGGTGTCTTACGGCAGTCGCAATCCTCTCAAGGGGCCAGGCAGTTCTTTTTTCAGCAGCACACTCATTCCTAAAGACACCAGGTACACAAAGATCTCCAGAAACAACTCAGAAGCAAACCCTGACATCCCGGGGCCCGCGAAAAAAAGCCCCAACCTGCAAGTTGGATGCTGGGCGCCCGGACTATCTCCTTATAAGCCCTAGAAGCCCGAGTACCAGACCCCGAAAACCCTGGCCCAAATGCCTAAACTCAGATTGTTTCTTGATGCGAAACCCTAAACCCTAAGATCTGGACCCCAGGGCCCTGGCCCTTCCATGAGGCGCCATTCCGGGCTCGAGGGCTCTGGGACTTTAAGGGTTGAAGGGCTTGGGGTTTAGGTTTGGGGTTTAGGGTTTTGGGTTAAGGGTTGAAGGGCTTGGGGTTTAGGGTCCCGGAGTTCTGGGTGTCGGGGCTTAGGGAATTAGGACCGGTGTGGGGTTCAGCGTTTCAGGGGTCAGGAGCTCTAAGGTTTGGGAGTGTTAACTGACGAGTGCTTTGGCTTTGGGCAGTTTGAAGGTATTGGGAGAGCATGGAGATTCATAGTTGGAGTAGGGTCTGTAGCACATTTGTCCATTGCGTGTTATATAAGAAGGAACCCCGAGGCCTAATTATTGGGTGTTACTCAGGCTCCCTCACAGTGGATGCTAGTCTAATTTAGTATCATTCATCCTCATCCGACCCACCAAGGTCACGTGCTGCTTGATTGCGGATCACCGGCCCGGTCAGAGACGCATGATTGAGGGTTTCGGCTCGGCAACCTAGCCACGATGGTAAATTGAATACCAATACAGTAGTGCTTTCCACTATCGCTGCTCTGTTGTGTTGGCCGTCGTCGTCCTTAGTCCCGCCCGACCCCATGCTGAAATAAACGACCATGTCGGTTGATCCTCCCCAAAATAAACCTGAAACAATTAACCTCAGAACGTTTAGGGCTTAGGGCTCAAGGGTTCCTTTCGGGTTCTATAAGGGTTGCTATAGGGGCTCGTGAAAGGGGTGGGGTTCAGGAAAGCTAAGCTTCGAATGTCTGCACCTGCCCCTTGCGGGAACTGTTGCTGTAAGGAGGATTTGCCAAACCTCAACCTTGACACCCGAAGCCAGTTTTTAGGGGAGTAATTTTAAACAAAAGGAACATACTATGACGGGCCTCTTAGGGAGTTCCTTAGACTTAGGGGTATAGAGACATAGAGTCTATAGAGTTGTGTAGGCTGTATAGTTAGGGGTTTCTGGAAACCGTCCTTATTCAACGATGCTGATCAAAGGATATTTTTGGGTAGTATACGAGTTCGGGAGAATTTGTTTTAAAGGCAATGGGCTACGGCTAGGTCCAGGTATTGGCGCATTTTAAAAACCACAAGTATCCTGAGGAATGCTAGCGAATATTCTTTGCAATTGTTCAGGCTAGTATACTGCATAGGACCCTACCGCTTACCGATCTATGCCACAAACCACTCGGAGACCGGTTTGGGATGCGAGGCCAGACTCAAACCGAATCAGGTGCTGTCATCTACCTCCCTCTCTAAATTTTGTATTATATATAAAGAAAAAATACGTCTATATATATATATACATACATACATACATACATACATACATACATACATACATATATATATATGTGTGTGTGTACAGGGACCTCACAACATTGATTTCCTTGTCTAGAGGTCTAAATCCCCGCACTTCGCGGATTGGAAGCCAAAAGGGTCTTTGAAGGTTGCAGGGCATCGTAGGTCGTAGGTTTAGGACTCCGAAATATGATCCAAGATAGGGGTAGATCCTTGTCCCGACAAGAGCCCGTGAACTAAAACCCTTTCGGCATCCTAGGATTGGAACAAAAGGTTGGCCCTCAGCGTGGAGAAAAAACGGTCGAAAGCAATTCTTCCGGATACCACAGCTGTCGGCCTTCTCTGAATTCCCAGTATCCCTCACTAGTACGGGACCCATTAGTTCAGGATCTGTCTGTACTACACTTGAAAGAATATGTATACTCCTTGAATTTGAGGGATTTTGGATGCGCGGCAAAGGGCATGCACCATCGCACGATGCCTTACATTGCGGCCGCGAGCTATGCATTGTCATTTGTGGTTTTTCTGCCTGTGCAGCGGGATGGCAACCCTGCTGTGGCTCTGCCACGGTACACACAAGGCAACTTCTAGAGTCTAGACCACGCATGGATCCCTGAGCTTAGTAAGGTAACTCAGGACCCAGAAACATTTGTCCAATGACCACAGCTGGAGGAAGACTTATACGATGCCGCGAAACATCAAAGGTTGTGTATCACTTGCAGGCGTCAGTCCGATCTGATGACCCGATTGTGACATCGTCGGGCTGCATGTGGGTGACCCTCTGAATCATGAGTATGATGCTGTTGTATTTTCTACTCAGGGGAACGCGAACTTGGAGAGTTACCCACATACCCGCTGGAGCTCTGGCACCGTAATTTCACACCGAGGGACTCCACTCAAACGCTCAACGAAGGGAAGTCTACGACTCCCCGAAATTAAAAGCCCTCTGAGAACAGAGGTAAGCCGTGAGAAACGCGCTGTAGCGCGAGCACAGCACACACCGGCCATAACAGCTGAACGCCCCATATGGATAGCCCGTTCAGCACCAGCACATGGCACGCCTGCCGCTCTTCAAAGGTGATAGTCTGTACAAACATCCAAAATTTAGCTTCACCGAGGGACTCCAACACCTCCGAATTGAGCCATATGGCTATGGCTTGCACTATAGAGTCCGTATGATTTTCAATGTGTCCCTGATAAGGAGGTTCGGAGTTCCAGGGCAGGTATGGAATAGTAAAGGGGAAATTCGACCATCTCCTGGCCCGAGGTATCTCAATGCTTGTTCATCCTGTCATAGCATGCGCATATAGCTCATTACGCCACAACTACCGAAGAATGTAGCTATTGTCGTGAATATTCGCTCACGTTACAAAGTGTTGGTGTTAGCGTGCTTTCATGTCGTCTTAAGATCAGAACCACTTGGTCATCGTGGATTTACATCGAGATGCCGACATGTGCAACAACATCGTTCATGATGTATTGGGGACTTCCGGCGATCTTACGACACCCTGCCCGCGGAAAAGTGCTTGCCAACGCTGAAGTCCGCCACCAGATAGCCAAACAAGCAGGCCAGCTGCACCGCACCATATGAATGATGCTCCGACACTGTGGTTGGATGCCCAGCGTGCTACATAGACACCAAACAATGCGACCAAGAGGTACAGCAAGAACAAAATCAAAGACTGCGCCACAGAGCAGAGGCTTCTTTCTGCCGATGGGCACCGGTGGCAAAGCAGCAGCAAGAATCTTGGTCCCAGGGTGGGTACACCAAAAACTGTTCTCTTGGGGCCTTCATCACAGGCAATCTACTTAGAATCTTACGAAGTCTTGCATAGCTATGCAAACAGACTCTGAGTGTTTGCGGTATGGCAAACAGAAACAAACATAAATCTGGAACTCTAAGGTTCCAAAGGACTGTTATGTCAAGGTTTCAGGTGTTTGGGGTTTCAACCAGGCTATGATAGGTATGTGTATATTCAAGAAGGCAGAGGGACTGCATGGTAAAGAGCCACCAAAGAGTGAAGAGGCCCAGCGTCATGGCAATGCCGTATGCCAGGATGGCGTGGAGGGGGGCGTTTCCTCTGACCAAGGCGGCCAGCGCGTCCATCCCTGCTTCAACCAGCAGGAAACATAGCTGCCCGAAGCCCCTAAAACTGGCACAAGACAGTTTACAATCTGTGGTCGTTTTGTTTGGCTAGAGGTTTCAGGCTTTGCAGGTCAGAAGACCCAACAAGTTCAGACTTTACCGATGACCACTTTACCCTACAGTCAAGGCGGTTAAGGTTTAATTAGGGTGTAGTGACTGTAGTGCTGTTTGTTTTTGAAGCATTCGGGTTTACGACAGACAAGCTAGACAAGCACGAATCCGCAGCACAACAGCTTGCCTAGGCTAATCCACGGGGTCGTAATCAGCATGCCGTAGTACCACGGTAGGTTCGTGCCCAAGTGGTCTTTGAGCAGTTCGTCACGAAGTGGGCCGCGAACATAGGCGGTGAAGGCGTCTAAGCTGCCTTAAGTTGACAGGCGTCAGGTATAGCATGGCATAGTATGTATATGGTATATATCACAGAACGATTGGCAGGTCTCTTCTCAACCCAGTGTGATAGTGATATGCGGAGGAACGGGGTCCGAAAAGGGACCCTAGATTTAATTAGGAAGGCCCTCACAGAGAGAACCTCGGATACCACTTTAGATTTCTGGCACTCTGCACTGCTCCAAGGTCGATCACGTATTTGATATTGAAGGCTTTGCCAGGGTGGTATGGTGTTGTTCGCAGGTATGCTGTCTGTCATCACATGATCGCACCAGCATCAGCAATCACAAACTGAGTCAGCATCATGACAGAAATGGAAGCGTGGAGCTGAAATAAGTTTCAATCGAGCACCTCTGAACCCCAAACCCTAAAATGCTGAAGCCTTCTTGGTACATTTATTTAAGGGCTGGGTACCTTAGCACAAAACAGGTTAAACTTTTCAATCATAGTAGGATTATATAAGCCCCAAAAGCTTACAGATTACCTAGTCAGCCCCTAAGAGTTTACAGAAACACGTCAAAGAACCCTTGGAGAATCCCTCTTCCGTCAGAAGCTCGGGAGCGCTTCTGAGACGGCTCAACCTGTTCCGTCACTGAAAAGACCCTAAACTTAAACCCCATGCAAACTCCACACGCAAACCACATATCCTCCAGAAGGAGACCTGGACCAAGCTACCGTACCACTTTTGGATGGCGCTGTAGATGAACTCCTGATCCTTCGCTGGTGAGTTCCGTGGAAAAAAACCGCCAGACTTCTTATTGTGATAGTGTTATGAAAACATCAGCACCCAACCCTAAACCTTTCGTAACCACTGCTCGACTATGTGTACATGTGTATGTATGTATGTACGTATGTACGTATGTGTGTGTGCATACATACAGTGTCTAAGGCACGCCACATACACTGTGCTCTTCCAATCAACAACAAATTTTCCTAGGCTAGGGAAATCAAAAAAAAACAAAAACACATCTATACGGCCAAACTCTCCAAAGTTGTTTTTTGGATTTCGCAAGGAAAAACTGTTTTTAGTGCGGTACCATACTTTTCCTTGGAAAAAGATTACTGGACCGGAAAACCAATTTTTGGCCATGAAGAACCGGCAAAACACAAAAAAAATCATTAGGTAAACTATACAGCACAATCCAAAGCCATGGTTTTCTGTTTTCACTTGGAGAAAAAGGGTTTTTGACACCAAAACCCCTTTTTCTTCTACGGAAAATTGGTTTTCCACACCAAAACCAAATTTTTCCGATGGAACAATTGGTATTTCGGAACAAAACCATCTGTTTGCTAGGCAAAAAATTGGCTTTCCGGTCCAAAACCATCTTTGTCCTAGGTGTGAAATTTGTTCTACGGAAAATCACAAAACCATCGTTTTGGACTTTGGCCGTTTAGTTTCCCAAGAAATGTTTTTTTGGTTTTTCCTGGGACAAAGTTGCTTTTCCGGTCCAAAACCATTTTTTCTAGGAAAAAACAATTTCCCTGTCCAGAACCATTTCTTCCTAGGAACAACTTGGCGTTTCACTGCAAAACTAACGTATTCCTAGCAAAGACTGTGTATGTCATTTGTTGTTTGCGCGCGTTTGGAGTTAATGTTGCTAATATGGTTCCCAATGTTACTGTACAATATACTGGGTAATAACCAAGACACTGTTCGGATCAGTTTTGGGGTCAATAGAGAGCTAATCTTGCAGGATATTAGGGCTGATGTTACTTGGAATCAGGAATCAGTTAACGATCCACGTCATTATGTTGGTATCTAGTACTGCACAGGTTTAACCTTAAGCCTTAGCGTTAGCAAGTGTATATACACACACATAAATGTACATGTGTTGGTATCATCCAAAAAATCTAAGGGCCATCAGTTGGGGAACACCACGGCGAACACAGCAAGTATCGTGGTTCTTAATGGAATTCGTTTTGCGTATGTAGTTTAATATTAACATGAATATGACGGATACCGTTGAAGTAAATATTTGGGCAGTATTTAGCTTACATGTATTACTATAACAGTAGCTCGTATTGGGATGAAATGATTTGGACTTCGGGGACTTGAATGCTAATGCTCGGGATCCCACAGCTACACCTGGATTGATTAACCTGTTCACGAGGCCAATGGTCGGGGTTTCTCTTCAGGCCATTATTTGGGTTGCTGTTGAAGGAAATATCCGGTACAGGACGAAGGCTACCAATGGCCCATGGCAACAGCTTATGGGTAATATTAAGTTTGCCAGCAAGGAGTAAGGTCCATCGTGGAGTCAAATCCAATATCAGGGCTGGCGAAGGGACTGCAATATCGGGGGGCCAATCAGACTGATGTATGTATCAGACTGATGTATGTTACTATATTTACCTTCACGTCGATATGGGAGTGAATATGGGGACGTATAATGGGGTTGCTCGTCGACATAGCATGTGAATCCATCCGAAATAAGACGTGAATCTATAAGGCATTTCGGTTGGGTAAACATGAGGTAGAAGATTACTGTCACGATTGGGACCACTGTGAGGTTTGATGGCAGGGTTAGTCTTCGGGGTGCTGTTGTTTTGGGAATAGGAGTCAGCAAGTCTCACGGTCATTTACACGCATTGCTGGGGCTTTGATCTGAGACTACAGCGACGGCTAACTTGGGAGTTAGTGTTCAGGCCCATATTGAGCTTCTGGTATTCAGGCAGAAATGATTTTCATCGTTGGAGAAGTATCTGCGTGAAGGGTCGCAAGAACTAAAAATGAAGGCGGCTGCCGATGTTCATATGCAGTCTCTCGGAAATTCAAAACCTGACGGTCAAGCCTGGATCATCACCAAAAGCCTAAACCGTGGAGGTTTGGTGGGGCTATCGCGGCACCTTGCGGTAGTTCTTCCGGGGGGTTAGCATGCATGCATATATATATATGTATATATTAATATAATATGTTGCAAATATAGAAATATACATGTATTTTTTTAATTTGCTTATCTATTTATTAATTTTAAGTATGCCTGTTCATTGTCAAAATTACCCAAAACCCTAAACCTTAGACTCCAGGGTCCGAGGCCAATCTGCAGCTCGCATCCGACAGTTCGAAGCTTGCCAAAGCCAAGAACACCTCACAAAAAGAGCGGCCTGAATAAGGCTTGAGGGGTTTAGGCTTTAGGGCCTGCAGAACATGGGGTAGATTCAGGTTCAATAGTAAAGGTTCTATGATCCTTGATGCTTCGAATAGGGTTTTGGAGCATATAAAGACAATAGAGAACCCCAGCGACTAACTTTGGCAATTGTTGAGGCTTCCACACCAGCGTTGTCTGCTTGCTGAGAGTTTCAGGTTCGGAGGCTTTAGAGCTCATAGTTGGGGGCTCCGTGTTCTAGGGATCAGGGTCTAGGCATTCGAGGCCCTTTACTTTGGTTAGGGTTTAGGGTTTAGGGTTTAGGGAGCCGTTTGTATGGGGCACCCGAACTCCCACCTTGGAACTCCAACACCCCCTAACACAGATGAACAGATGAACCAACAGAACAGCTTTTGCGGATTCTTATGCATCGCCGCGTTGTGATTGGGTGGACCCGAAACCTTTTTTTTGCATCAAGCCTTCAACCTGCTTCTGCCGTGACTCAGATGACTCGAGGAGAGAGCTTCGCGCGTGCTGTGCCACTCATCAGGACTGACTTCAAAACCCTGAAATCAGCAATATGGGGGCCTTAATGACTAGAATAGGGTTTTGGGGCCCATTACAATATAATATACTTAAACATAACAGGAACCTCCAAAACAGTAGTGGTAATTCGTTAGGCCCCTACCTTAGCCGATTAGCTGCTTCCTTCAGCTTGGAATTGCGAAGCTCTTTGCATTGGAGACTTCTCTGGGCTTGTTCCGTCAGAAGTACAGTAGACAGGGGGCTTAAATTATTAGAAAAAGGGTCCCTGTAAGGATTCTTGACAGGGATTCCCTAGAAACTCTATGTAAGTAAAGGCCTTCAGACTTAGAGTAGGACTTTTGGGGCGCATTGTAGTATACTCGCAAGTGGGAGCGGTAGGGAAAAAAGCATTGCTAAACTCTTCGGTCTGTTTTGGTAGCCCCCTATAGGCCCCAAAACCCCCAAACCCTAAACCCTAAACCCTTAAATGTAGCGGTTCGAGATGGAAATGCAAAGCGACCCGGGACCCGCCAGGAAGCCGTAGAGTTCCCTTTGCCATCCCACTGGCTTCTTACCCAGAGGGTTCATAGTAGTTCCTTTTTTGGGGGGGTACCTTATAGGATCCTAAATACAAACCACAGAAAGGAACTACTATGGAGCCTGTGGGTATAAAGCAACTTAGACGTGCCACGGCACACGCCTGAGGGTAAACGTTTGGCCGCTCACTCGATCCTGAAGAAAAGAAATGAAACAGATTTAGATCCCTTTAGAACCCTAAACCATGAACCTTAAACCGGTTTACAGGCCACACCTGGCGCTTCCGGGACAAGTTCTGCCGGAGGAGGTGGAAGACTCCGAGAAGTGGGAGCAGTGCCACGACAAGAAGAACTGTGCCGCCTCATTTTTTCCCACCCGCCCAGCTGACTATGCCGCCTCATTTAGGGTTTGGGGTTTGTAGGGGGTTAGATGGAGGCCTCTGCGAGGGAAGGTCTGGAAGCCCGGCATGTCGGGGGGTACTTCCTAGAGAAACCAAAGGAGAGTTGCATTCATTGGGGACTTGCGGCACTGAGTAAGCGCTTTCTGAAACATGTTTTTTTGGGGGGATGTCCACCCAATCCCAATGATGCAACAATGCCAAACCTGGCGAACTCGTAGATGCGCAGGCACCTCGCCCACAAGCCAACAAGTAAGATACGGAAAAGCCCTTCCTGGAAATGAGAGACAAGTCATGTCAACTAGAAATTACAACAGAGCAGCCACCGGACTTGCTTGCACTTTTGCAAGAGTTTGGAAGCCTAAACCTCAAGCCGACCGGCCCTAAAGCCTAAAGTAAACACTCAACCCCTAAATCCTAAACCCTAACACAGGCCCTATGTAAATCCTAAAATGAAGCCAAGTCCTGAACCTGGACCCTAAGTAAGCCAGACGAGCGAAAGCTGGTGAGGAACTCACAAAAAAAAGATCCCCCTTGCTAAAGCCGAAGATGAGCCCCAGAAAGTTGAGCCATGGACTTAGGGTGATTAGTGTTGGGGGCCCTTGTATTATATTGTAATTTACATAGGGTCGTGCGGATTTTGATAGGACTCCATAAAATCCGACTGAAACTGCTCGGAGTTGCGAAAGTTCGTGAGGAAGCCCACAATGTAGAGGATAATGGCCAACGTGCCTCCGAGCCAAAGGACGGCCACACCGAGCTCCACAAACCTTTCGTTTTCTTGTTGGGCTTAGGGCTTCAACTCGAACTCTTGCTTCGGCGACGTTACTAGTGTGGCATCGCTACAGGGACATGTGACGAGCACATAGCGAGCAAATAGGACTCACCAACACAGCAAGATGGCCTCTGAAGGTAAAGGCTTAGGGTTCTTTCCTGTCGCAAGGGTTTAGGCTTGTTTAAAGGATTGTGAGAGTGACTATAAGGTCTGCTATACGGGGTTTTGAGAAGCTTGCAATTTAAAGGGGTGGTGATTCAATCAAAGTCCTCTGCTGTGGTCTTTTGAGCCCATGTTGAAGTTGAAGTACTAGACTATACCTTACTATGTGCCATCGGAGCAGCAACGGAACGAAGCGGATCCTGTCAAATGGTGCCAACAGGTGCAGGGTGGAGATTCCAGGTGTTAAAAAACATGTCCGGGCATGTTTTAGCTTCGTAAGTCAATATCCTAACTCTCCCTCCAAGCAGCGACTGTGGACCTAGCCCTGGCCAATGCCCAACCCTGCATAGCTGCTCTGCAACTTGCCCTAACTCTCCAGGTACCTAATATTTCGAGCCCTAGGGGCTCTAGTACCCTATATAGTAGGTACCTGGGGGGTTAGGGTTGTATCGAAAAGTGACGGTAACTTGTGCTCTTTGTGGTCGGCCCGTGGGTTCGTGTGTGAGTGGCTTTTGTACTGGGGCTGAGTGGGGTTGGATGGGTTCGCAGATCATGCTGCCCGAAACATGGTGCATCCGTGCCCCGCCATTCCCTGTTAATTGTCTTCTGCTAATGCGAACCTCAAGTAGAAGCTTTCGCGCATCGTTAGAGTGGGTGGGTTTCGTTCCTTATAATTCCTACTCATCCTGTAAACGCTGAACCTTACAGACCCTTTTTGTATCAGGACTTGTGACACTCCCTAAACCATGGCTCCTCCCTGGCTTCGGCTGGAGTTGCTTTGGCTCTTCCTAACTTCCTACACGCCAGACCCAAAACCCTACGTGTCAGTGCGACGGCCTGCCGAGCACTTAGTACCCGAATGCTGTAATCTGTAAACCCAAGCAAGACACTATATTATCGGGGCCTTTATCATACAAATAGTCAGAATAGGGCGAGGGATGTGTTAGGAGAGTTACCATAAGAGTTCTGTGATATCGGAGTCGTAATTTGGTACATGAATCGCTTCCCACTAACATTAAACCCCCGCCCAAAATAAAAACCTCCCGGCCCCGGGATGTTCCGGTTTCGGGCCCACAATTGAAAGTTAATTTACTTCGATACAGAGGGTTTAGGATTGCATTGGTTTGAGTAGAGCCAAGATTACAGCAGTACTAATCAAACCGAAAGGACCAGAGCTTTAGGGTTTGGGGGCTTAGGGCTTAAGGTTTGGGGCTTAGGGGTTTTTTTCCTTCCCACTTAGCAAGGATAGGGCTTTATAAATAGGGCTCAAGGTTTAAGGCTTGGGGCTTTAGGGGTTAGGGCCAGGGCTCTAGGGCTTAGTTAGGGCTGCAAAGCTGCAGCCAGAACGGCTTTGTGATGGCGGTGCTTGTGTCTGGCTCACTATTCCTATCAATCCGGCTCATACCCGCATGCGCCGAACCCCCCCAATATAAGAACCGAATCCGCGGAAACGGACATCAGTTTGTATATGAGGGAGGGGGGTCCGTTTAATCTTAGGGGGAAGGGACTAGTGTAGCACAGTATAGTATAGTATGGTATGGTATAAGATGGAACAGTAAACTGCCGTATCGCTTAACACGGCATAGCATAGCGAAGCAAAGCATACCATAGCACAGCACAGCATAGGATAGTAGAGTATAAGTTATGTTCTGGCTGTAATGGTAAGCCCTAAAATGGTATAGCAAACACTATTAACTCCAAAGAGCACCCTTTTGCATCATAGGCCCTTAAACACCCTAAGCCCCTGAAGCGATCGAACCTCCGGAACAGTCCTGCGGGTGGGGTTGGCCGTGCGGAAGGCAGCCAATTCAAAAACGCACCACAACCTGTGCTTGCGTGGTTTGAGTTCCTTGAGTTCCTTGTTCGATGCCAACCTGTGCTTAGGCAGAGAGAGCCGATAGACACCATGAAAGCTTGTGTGGCTGAAGGTTTGGGGTGTGGGGCTGGGACATATTTCGTTGAAAGATAAGATTCTGAGCTCGCAACTCCTCGCCGGTTGTCGTGCTAGTAGTTTTTTAGCTGTTGCCATCGACAGGCCATCATCCTGTTGCTACTCTATTGCTGCAGCCGTTGCCGAAAACCCTGTGGCTTAGGGTTCAGGGACAAGCAGACCCAAAGCATCAGAAGTACATGAACAGAAGGATGTCTATGGCACGAATCGGCGGCGGAATTCCTCATCCGGAAATGGCTGCCCACACCCAAACTCCGAGCCTCTTGTGATCATGCAAGAACTAACCCCAAAAACCCTGTGGACTGCCCTAAACCCTGATAACACCAAGAAAAAGCCCCTGCGCCTGGAGAGGTATGGTCGAGAATAGAGGATTCTCATTTCCTTGGACCGGCACAGAGAGCAGGAGAGCAGTCGTTTCCCCATTCTGAAGTCATGTCGCGGTGTATTCTTGGCAACTTTGCTAGAGCCCCCTCTTTCCCACAAAATTAGAGCCGGTACCCTAAACCCTAAACCCCTAAAGCCCTAAAAAAGTCCAGAACGGAAGGAACAACTGTGCCACTGCCCCTGCGTCTCTTTGGAAGCACTCAGGAAGCCGCCAAGCCCTGAGCTCTCTCGTGTTTTAGGGCTTATAGGGTTTAGGGTTTAGGGCTTAGGTTTAGGGTTTAGGGCTGAGGGTTTAGGGTTTAGGCTTCAGGGTTTAGGGCTTAAGCACCGCAGGGAACTCGTTCGTCGACTCTAAAGACTGTGGGTCGCGAAGGTCAGGTGTCACATGCAATCCCTTGAGGAAACGCCAGAACCAACGGGTTTAGGGCTCAGGGTTTAGCGTTTAGGCTTCAGGGCTTAGGGCTTAGGGTTTCGACTTTAGGCTTTAGGGTTTAGGGCTTAGGGTTTAGAACTTAGGGTTTAGGGTTTAGGCTTTAGGGTTTATGCCAGTTGTCTGGAGTTTTTCTTTTACCGCAGGGGTGACGTCGTTCTCAGATGCTTTGATGCAGGGGGGCTTGGGCTTTCAGCGGGCTTGCGCAAGCATCCGCGAGTTTCTATCCACTGTGTATCGGTCTTCCTCACTTACAGTGGTGCCCCTAAACCCTAAACCTAAATGTGCTCCTAAATACCGCCCCTTAGCCGCAAAATGAAAGAGGCGAAGAACAAGAGCCTGGAGTCCATAGATGCCCTCCTGCATCATCTTGGCATCGCACTGGTTGATGCTGACAACATCGAGGAAACAGGATTGCTTCTTGCCCACGTCGGGAATGTAGGGAGCAAGGAAGAAAGTGAGGACAGACACAGGCATGGCAACCAGCATGCCCAAGCCACTGAAGGGGCACTTCGCATCGAAATTTTGGACTCCGAAGCCTGGCTTCTTGTTAAGGGATTTAACTTACATGACCATAATAAGGAAACCATACTATTTACTATAGATCCCTATTATGGTAACTTAAAAAAATCCCCTAACAAGAGCCCAGAAGCTGACCGTGCCAAGCACAGGCGCCAGAGAAAAGCAGCAAAGGAGCTCCAGCATCACGAGGAGAAGAAGCCATGAGAGCAGAGCGTAAGCCCAGCCCTGCTGAAAGGATAGGGAGAGGTACCTCATTGAATATTGAATCGTATAAAATATATTACAGAATCTTCTTGTAGAACCTGTATATACATATATGTGTTCTTTTATTTGTTTGCTTGTATATATTATATTGAATGGCACTGGAGGGAAGGCTGCTCTCTTCCTAACAGAGCTCAAGCGTTCAAATTTCTGAGACCCCGTAGAAAAAAACCTTTGCGACGCTATGCGCCATCCCCCCACCCCAAAAGGCTTAAACCCCTGAAACCCGCCAGTGCTACGCCACAGACATCGGAGCACACTCCACAAGCACGGAAAGCGGTTTGGTGCAGGGGATGCTTCGGGATTTGGGCAGTAGGTATTGTGCAGACGGTCAAACATTCCGGATAAGGGTACTTCCAACTTCCTCTGGTAGCCCACGTGTGCGACAGAAACATGTCGAAGTAGTCGACCTGGACAAGGCGATTTGCATGTCTGGGAGGGCTTTATGGCCAACATTTAAAGAGGGGCTGTAACAGCACAACGGCAACAAAGTCATGCTCATAATTTCACAATACGAACGACGAGCAGCAAACATCACGTTTATTTGCAGCTGATTCTCAAACTGAACTAAAGTAACTAAAGTGTGACCTTGCAACCCTGAAACTCAACAAGCGTGACCCTAAGCCCTGACCCGGCTGACCCAGCAAGCCCTTAAAGTCCTGAATACTCCTTGCACCCCCCCCCACCCCCCGCCCCCCAAACCTGCCGCGAACGTGACCAAAGTCCAGCTTTCTCCTGTTAAGAACTTACGGAATCAGGGCTTCAAGGACTCCGATTAGAACGGATTTACGGATTTGGAGGGTCGGCGAAAATAGGCCGCTTAGGCAAAGTTCAATTACAGGTACTACAGGTACTGGAAAACCTCAAGGTGTGCGTTTCAGGCGCTTTTGTGCACTGCTAAACACCCCCTGATGATTGCGCTACCTCCTTGTGTCGTTGCAAAGCCCTCTAATGGCATCTACTCTGAAACAATGCACCCCGAAAGCCGTGTCGATCCGATTCCTCAACCCTGAACCCTAAACCTGGAGCCTAAACCCCGGATGCTAAGTCCTTCTCCGGCAAGTCGATGGGGGATGTTCGCCACAGCCGCCCCCCACGACGCAAAGATTCCTTTACGGAGATGCCTCCGAACAGAACAACATGACAGGGAACCATGCATGTGACTTACGCCCATACGTACATAACATGTGGTGGAGGTGGTGTTCGGGTGATTCCGGGCCCTGTACTCATTCTCACGAGCGGCCGATGTGATGCAGGAAGGGCTGAGGTTAATACAAAAGCGGTTTGGACTGTCCTTCCCGCTTCGCATTGGACTGCTGGACCGAATCATCATTAGGGTATTAACGTTTCTAGTATTGTTCTTGTTGTATTGCTTGTTGTTATTCTTATTCAATTAGTACTACTATTCAGAGACAACCAGCAACAGAACAGTAACAACAAAGATTGTGGTATCAAGCCAATCAGCCATCAGAGTACAGCTAGCTTGCATTGCCTCCCAGGAACATCGGAAGAGGGTCGAGTCTGTCTGTTTGCTGGGTGCTCAGCAAAAAACCCGCAACATCACCCGACAGGGCTTGGCAGGTGCTTGGCTCCTCGACAGGGCTATATAGGGGCCTTCATGATTCAATCAATGGTGTTGGGGGGTATATCACAATAGGCTTATACAACAAGGAACCCGAAGGAACAATATTGGTAATGAAGCAGGCTTCTACATTTTGACGGGCAAGGTTCGAATAGAACTCCTGCTACTGTCGGATAAGGGTTTACAGTAGGGCTCTTTGCTTACGGGAGCCGAAATAAGGTATCCCAAATTTCACGAACGCCCCCTGCTTCACTTCCTACTGATCCTCGTGTCACCCCTTTGAGCAGGAGGCAGGAAAAATTGGATAGAGCAGGCAGTCACGTTCGGACCGTCAAGGCAACTTAGAAAAGAGTGTGGGGTAACACATACTTGCTTCCCAGAACCTTTCGGAATCAGAACAGTATCATGAATCACTCAGGCCCTCATATGATTGGCCCGAGCTTTGTTGTGACCCTTGTGCCCTCGGATGCAACCGAACCGCCAAAACGATAGTAGGGTCTGAATTAGGGTTCAGGGCTTCTAGACTGTGAGTCTTCCACGAAGCCGCAACCCGTTGTCAATCAGATGCGGCTATAGTGTCTGCATCAAGCTTGAAGAGCTCGCAACCTGAACAGTCCTGAACGATCCATACCTCTCAGATCCCATCCAAGCATCTACAAGCAACCCTTAACCCTAAATCCTAAACCCTAAACAAGCCCTTCAGTTTTCAAACTTCCAAAACCTGGAGCCGAAATCCCAAGTTATCTACACCCAAGGGGGGGGACCTTCCTCGGGTTTCCTGACATTCTTTTGCATGTGCTTTATTACTACGAAGTGCCCACCCACAAAACCCAGCGCCCACCATTCTCATCATTCAGGCACCTTTATGAAATCCTAATGGGGGGGGCCCTGCCCGGCTGTTTGTTCGGGGGATGCCTCGCATCAAATTTGCGCTTCCCAAGCTGAGGATTTTGGGATTTTGTCGACGCTGGGGCGGGAAACGGTGGATGCTGACGACACGGAAGTCCTTCGGGTTCGGGGCTTCAGGTTCCCTTAGGGCCGCAAGCAAACAGTGTGTTGGCGGCTTATGGGCTTTATAGGGCTGTTTAAGGATCTGAGTTTATGGAGTAGTGGGGTTCCGATTTAGGTCAGAAGTCCTTCTTGATTCGGGCGACGGTACCTCCCCTCTCGGGCTTGAGCGTTCGTTCTCCCTGTGCTTCTCTTCATCCTTGATCGTGACAACCTCCACTGGAGTTCCGGAGCTCTCCGTCTTTCCATCGCATTTGCAGCTGCTTCCAGCGCCCATGGCGGGAAAACGCGTCTCAACCACCGAGCTGTGGGGGCAAAGGAGCCTTGAACCCAAACAGAGCAGACCGGAAAAAAATGACGACTGTACAGATGCTGTTCGATGCAGTGATACAGTCGTGGACAAGAATCTGATGCAGGCATGCTTGTATAGGTTCTGTGAATCTAGGACGGGAAGTCCTGTAGAAAAGCCCAGTGTGAATCGTCTTCCTCAGCTCGATGTTCTGCGAAACCCCCGGGACGGATCTTGAAGCCCACCTGGAACCATAGTGCCTTCGTTTGGTTACCTCAGGTTTCCTGCTGCAGGTTCCTCACCCAAAGTAGGTCATCCAAACAACGGTACCACCTTCCAGGACTACACGGTTCAGGATGTAGGGGAGTACGATCTTTTCGTCGATACCATTTTCCGCAGGTGTAGAGCTTACGGTGTAGCAACGTCAGCAACAACATATGTGATTATCACCTTGCGGATGTCCTGGCTACCTCTCTCCAATCACTTGGCCCATGCCAAAACTATCATTCACTTCAGAGAACATGTCAAAGACGGCTTTGAACCAAAGTGATCTGAAGGTTGAAGATAACACACACACACACTGCCCGAACTACGGCTTTCCTGGAAACACACCTTGCGCAGGAGACAACGGTCCTAAGACCTTGCGGTTTCTTTCTGAGGCCGTAGGCTACAGTGCAGATTCTTGGTGCAAGCCGGACAAGCGAGAATATCAAAGCTGGGATCTGTCTCTTCCTGACAGGTGCCCCGGGTTTTTGGGGGGGCCGGAAAACAAACTGTGTAATTCGACAGCTGAACCCACAGCCAGGGTTGTCTGCCTTTCACTGCAAGCGACAAGCAATGCAGTGTCAGGACGCCCTCAAGCGGCCGTCATGCCAGGGAAGCTTAGTCACCCCGACATTCGGCAGAAAGTCTAACGGAAGCCCCGTTGCACTTCACTGCCATGTTAGCTCCATGCCCTCCGGCCACAGTTTCAATTTCTGGCACCGACAATCGTAGGAATCGACCTTCTGATCTCTCGTTGCACACATCTGTATGCACATGTTCTAAGCCGAAGACAGTCCTTGCTGTTGAAGGCTCTTCGGCCCGCGCAGATGCAAAGCAGCGCAGCAGCAGCAGCAGCAGCAGCAGCAGCAGCAGCAGCATGCAGCAGCAGCATTGTGCAGCAGCATGCACACGACCACTTCCAACTAGCATTGCCACCCTCTTGGAACGAACCCCGTGAACTCCTGCTGTGTCTCTTTCTCTCTCTCTCTCTCTCTCTTTCTCTCGCTGTCTCTGTTTCTGTCTCTATACATATATATATATATACATACCTATGCATATATGTATATCCTAACTGAACCCTTTATAAACCCCTAACCCTACTGCCCTGGATCGCTTGAACCGTGGCCGAAGCTTCATGCTGGGGCCTGCAGGGTTGCAACGCGATGGCGGCTGCTTAAAACGCAGCGACACTCCCTTGGCCCCAGAAGCTAAGGTTTGGGCTTCAAGGGTTTTCGGATTCCGAGTTTAGGGTTTAGGGCTT